GTAAAAATGTGTTTTTTGTAAAATGTTAATAGTTTAGTATGAAATGAATGCATTTTCCAAATTTGATCAAAATATGTTCATAAACAAGCAAACTAACACCGTTTATTTATTCTCCCTAAGAATAACATGGGAATTTTAAATTTACAGTTTTTTGGAATTTTCTCCGTAACCATTAGGCGCATAATAACGCTTCAATATACTAAATTATTTGTTTTTTTAAGCTCTACAAAATGGTTTGGAAAGAAATTGCTAAATTTTAAGTTTTTAGGGTCAAAAATGGGAAAAACCAATTTTTACCCCATAAAACCCCCCATAGACCCCTATTCCCATAGTCTGATCATGCTGGTTCGCGAACTCGTTCGAATAAACGTAGGTTTACAAGTTTGTACCAAATTTTATCAAAATCGGATGATTTTTGCTCGAGTTATCGTGCTAACGGACACATATATAAATATATATATATATGAATTTGAACGGATGGTGTTTTTGGTCTCTAGGGACCTCAAAACGAAAAAGTAAATCGGTCCCGGGTCCAGGTCTTACCATGAGTACTACGGTAATAGCTTATTCCCTATATGGGAAATTCGCTAAAAGAAAACATTTTATTGATATTTCATTAGGTAAATATTTGTCTAATTGAGTTGCAAATTAGTACTCTCATGGAGATCGTTATTAATGAAAATTTAAAACGGATTTATTTGTATTTTCTATATTTTATATTGTATTAAAACAAGAAATATAGGGGTAAAACTGTGTTTCCTTAAAAGGCAAAGTATTGCATCTTTATACGGGAGGAATTTGTTTAAACAATATTTTATGTTCCACTGTCGGTTTTCTGGAGAGATTCCAGAGAAAGGAAAGGTTAAAATAAATGGTTTGCCATGTTGTCCCCCCCTTTCACCTTTTCTCTTTAGACTGGAGTGTTTTAAAGTATTACCTAGAATTTTATTTTACATATTTGTATTTTTAACTAGTGGCATGTAGGGACACAAGTCCCTAAAAAGCTCAAATGCAAAACAAATTATTGTTATATTTAAACAAACTAAAAATCAAATGACCTTGGACACAGCATTGAAATTGTCATTAATCAATTTAACCCACTTTAGTAAAAGCAGAATTATTCATCAAAATTTTGTAATATAACTTCACGTTCTCTATCAACAGAATTAAAAGTAGAATTAAATGATAATACCCCAAGTAGCAATAAAATGAGGAAAAAATTGTTTTGATATCAATTTTAAACTTGTAAAACTGTTATTAATATGAGTATAGTTGACAACAGGCAAATTTTTAAATAGTTCAAAAATTGTTTTACAACTATAGTGCGGTAACTTTTACAACAATTGTACAAGAATTTAAACAAATGTTTTTACAACAATTTTAAAATTGACTTTACAACAATTTAAAAATTGTTTTCACATAGGACCAACCATCACATGGGGGTATCATACATAAAACACAAAATAATGAAGATTTTGTATGAAATGCATATTTATCAGTTGAGTATTTTGACTAAATAGTTCATAAAAACAAATAAATAAAAAAAAAACTAAAACAAAATATCTTCCTCGCCGGCCCTGAACCTGAGACATCCAGATTATGAACCCCTTACTAAACCTCTGAGCTATCTGTGACTGTTGATATTTGATGTTTCCAATCGGTCAAAGAAAAGAGGAGCCGACAGTTGCAATAGTTGCAATACTTAATACTTTTGATACTATGATTATGTTTAGGCATTATGTTGTTGAATTGTTTTCTGGGAGTTGAGGAGGATACCGGTATTTGAATATAGATTAATTAATTAACATTACTAATGTTATTATTATATTTGTTGTATGAGTAGGCCTAATTCATCTTCCCCCCCCTTAAATTGTTCAACTTCTAAAAATTTGCTCAAATAAGTTAAAGGAAATAAAACAAAAAAAATATTTGTATTATTATTATTATTAAATGTTAAGCAGGTGTTCCACCACTGTATCTATTATTGCAACTATTACAATTAACGTAATCGGTAACTTATGCATTATGAATTTACCCATTCAAGTAATTCAATATTCATAATGTAATAACTACTACGGAATTATAAACAATTGTATTATATTTAAAAGAGATGCTTTATAAGAATTAATTAACTGTCAAGCTTTGCCTGTACAATAAACATAATTTTTTAAATATTTTAATAGGTACCTAGGTACTTTTCCAGTTACTTCATTTCATTTTCAACTTCTTTTAATTCTTCTTATAAAGCATTTATTTTAAATATAATACAATTGTTTATTGTTTATTCCGTAGTAGTTATTACATTATGAATATTGAATTACTTGAATGGGTAAATTCATAATGCATAAGTTACCGATTACGTTAATTGTAATAGTTGTTATAAGAATTATTGTAATTTCTGTAACCATTTAATTTTCATGGAATAAATATTTGATTTGATTCAATCGAAAAATTTAAAACATTATAAGCTGTTATAAACATGATTGATAAAACCTATTAAATACAAATTGAATGCAAGCGAGTTTAAAACCGGCCAAAACAGGGATACAACACATCAATTAATTAAACATCTCATATTAAATCAAACACAAATTATCAAACAAATAAATTGTTGAATCTTGTATTTTAAGAACTACACAAACAATTGTAAAATAGCATTGTAAACAATTTAAATATTGTTTAGAAAATTGTTTATAACAAAACTAAGAATAAAACAATTTTAAACTTGTAAAATAGTTACAACTCATATTAAAAACTTATTTTTTATACTGCAAAAAACTGATTGCTGAACAATTTAAAGATTGTTTCAATCTTATATTAAAATTGTTGTAATATGAAGTTTGTATCAAAATGTTTTAAAATTGTTAATATGAACAACAAATGTAATACAGCTTTTGACTATTTTTCAATTGTTTTTGATTATTGTGACATTTGTAATCACATGTTTAATGTAAACAAAGCAGACGTTTTTCAACCCCAACGCATTTTAATGGAAGATATTTTTCGTTATTTCCCATTTGCTGGTGGATTTGGTCATTATCTGCTATTTTTCCAGACCCCCTGGGACCAAGACCTTTAATTTGAGCCCTGCTCATCATCCTGCAAGGTCAAACTCTCAAATTTTAATTTAAAAAAATTCTTACAGAATTAATAATATAGATTCTTTTGTATGCAAAGTTTTTCAAACCAAAGATTGAATTTTCTATCTTGCTCAGAAAATTTTAAACGTTCTTAAAATATAAATTTGATAGTTTAAAATAAATAAATAGTTATATTTGATTAATTTGGTCTAAGTGTTTGGAAAAGCTGGCATAGAAAGAAATATTTTTATGTTGTTACGTTGTGTTGAATATTTTTCAAAATGCTAATTTCACAGTTAATTGTATTTGAAAAGCAGAAATACAATAGTATATGGGCTACTAGTGACACAATACGTAACTGAGTGATCTCGCAAAACTATTTAAATTTACCAGGTTGTTGGAATATTTTCTCTGTACAGGGTGGCTGAAAAGTAACTTGCACCCCTCTTTAACTTGTCAACCATTTGATATATTTGAGCGGCAACCTTCTTAGATATGAGGGGCTACAATAATGATGGTCAATTTTGTCCTTAGGGGTAGTGGGGGTAGGGGTTAGCTCAAAAATTTCATATAACATTATAGTCTAGATTGGTATCATTTTACAGGTCTTGAGGAAACATAAAAATTGACATAAAGAAAACCAAAATCGGCCCACTAGTAACAAAATGGCGCCCTAAAACGTTTGAAATCCAAATAACCATGTTTTTGTTTATAACCACTCATCGCCAAATAGAGTATAATCAGGTGGTTGGTGTCAGGTAATAGTAGTTTACGCAACGATTGCGTTAAGTTAGTCTTTACGACACGAGTAGAAAATTTAAGGAACGAGCCTTGGCGAGTGCCTTAAAAACTTCTACGAGTGTCGTAAAGACTATTAACGCGAGTTGTGTACACTACTTTACCTACAACCGTTTTTTAATTACTAAAAATCTGGTTTTTTATTACTAACAATCACTACTCATAACTTCCTAGAGAGGTTATGTTTTAAAATATATTTCAGATTTGAGAGCACTGACAAGAATGATGGCTTATAACACAACCCATGTTCAGTACCTAATACATCAGAATGAGCTATACAGGGTGTCCCAGTACTCTCTACCAACTTGTTCATGTATTATTCCTGGACCATAGACAAGTGCCATGAAAATATTCACTCTACAATCTCATCGCCTCACTTGCATTTCCAAAAGTAGCTCCATAGAGAAATGCATATCACATTCACAATACTCAACAATACTATAGCTAGCCATTTATCAATAAGGACAAACTGAACAAATTAATAAATAATAATAATACTAGACCAGCACACTGATTAAAAATAAGCAAAACACCCAGGAAATAATCACATTTTAACAATGTATGGTTTCAAACAGCTGATAAGTCTAAATAAGCATGAAACAGCTGATTGTGGCTCACTAGCAGTGGTTTTACATAGTAACAGTTGGACATCTCAAAAATTAGTTTTCTCCCTTATTCATGAACCGATTTTTAAAATTTTGGTATCATAAGATTTGTAATTGAATTCTGTTAAAAAAAACATAATAGTTGAAGTTGTTTCATATGCAGTTTTTGAGAGATTTACGTTAAAAATTTTTAATCGCCTGCAATTTTGAAAATAAACACTCTAAAAAAATTGTTTTTCCTTTATTAGTTCTTAATGTAATAAGGAGATATACCAAATTTAATTTTTTTTTACAACAAGCTGTTCTTGTATTAAAAATGTTTTTGTAAAAAAAAACTGAATGGCGGCTTTACGAGTAACTTTTGAGTTTTAGAAATTTTGAATATAATATTTTGACTTGTCTATGGTCTAGGAATAATACCTGAAAAATTTGTTAGAGTTCTCGGACACCCTGAATAACACACAAACTAAGTTCCATTCGATAAGGTGAAAAAGACAATTAAACACAATTGCTTTTTATTGCATAAAGAAAATAGTTTTACAATAATATATTAAACTTTTTACAGGTATATTATTTAATCACAGTCTATAATATTCAAAAGTTAGAATGAATACTTTCCAAGAAACTAGAAAAAGCAAAAGTGGAGAATACTCTTGATCCTTTCTCTTGAATATGGAATGAAAACGATCATTAGAAACTAAAACAAAATTCTTTTTTGAGAACAACTGAGAAACAAGCTAGGACCTGAAAAGACTTTTTGAATCTTGTGGTAAAGTATATTTTTGTCACAATAGACCATTCTTTAGCTAATCAATTCACACTTCAAATACATACACTGTTTACCTTAACTAATTAATTATATTTTAAAACAGTTTACATCTAGATTTTAAATTAAATACAAACAGATTTACCCATATTTAGATACATTAAATACTGATTCCCCAACAGAAGACTGAATTCAAATTCAAATTGCAAAAAAAATTATACAACTCATTTTGCCTAAATGTAGGAGTATTTTTATTTCAGTGATATTTTAAGGTAAACTACAACTTATGATAAAAACAAAACATTCAATAACGGGACATGTAATATTTTTATTTATAAGGAACATTTCTTAAAAAAAGTCTGCAAAACTTACAACTACAGCAGATTGTAACTCAAACAAAGGGTAAAAAGTATTTTAAAAAAATTACCGGTACCTCACAACATACATATTAAATAACAATTTTTGCAGCGGTAAACTATTTTTATTACTATACAATTTTTCATTAAACTACATAGGTAGTAAAAGCTCACAAACTATGGTGAAAAATGCATTAAGTACAAATTGTCATACCTAGAGGAACAAATTAACCCAGTTAGATTTGCTAAAATGCCAGCACATTTTTTAAAGTTAATTTTAAAAATGAACACAAAATATTATTTTTAACCCCTTAACCGTAAATTGGCGCGGTACGGTTTCGACGCGATCAGTGGCGCATGGTTTAATTATGCTCGCCAATGGCCCAGCACGGGGTTTTTTGCAATTTTTTGTGGTTTTTTAGCATTCTGAGGAATTCTAGTTTAAAACGCATTTTAAAGCAATTAACTATGATAAATGTTATAATAAACATTTTAATAGTATTCATGTTAACGAAAATGGTAATATAATTTTTTAGTTTTATAAATAATTAATAATAATAAACTAATAAATAAATAATAAAATATTTTACTCATCTTATTTACTTACGGGTTTTATTTAGTTTTCTGGTCACATGAGTGGATGTTTCAAGAAGTAAATATTGGAAAAAAATATATATACACTATATTCAAAGGTTACTTTTAACTTTTTAGTATTTCTTCAGGCTATGATATTCCCTGAAGCATGGCATTACGCACAAGGAGACCGCGCAGTCCTGGTACTGATACCACGACTCCCGCCTGGCTGGTTCACGTCGCGTAGTGTGACAGCAAACATAATATTGACGTGAGGTATACTTTTTTCAGTTGAAGGAATACATGATGGAAAATGACGCTGAGTCAATCTTAGTGGTGTATCACTCGGGGAAGGACAACCACCAGTTTTTTTTACTGTAGGTCTGAGCTGCAATGTTTTCCGCTAAACGTTGGCGAACTAGCTCTAAATGAAATTCTGTCAGTGTTTGGTTTCTTGCCAATTACACATAGGTATATTGCATGGGAATTGAGTATTGCCAGATCCACAAAATGTAAAGTAAACAGTTTTTACCACTTTTGGGTGTGCCTAAGACATGTAACATTCCTTAGCATCATATCTGTGGGTCTACCGAGCCGATTCTATAGTTATATTCTTGGACACATTTTGGCTTCATTCAGTGCCGGATTTAGGGTACTTGTGGCTCTAGGCCAAATTACTTGAGCGGCCCTCCCCCTGTGGTGGAAATTCCTTGCGATCGCGGAAATAACCGTGAGTATTCCTATGCATCAAAGAAACATCATCATCGACACCTGTGTCATGGATGAAATCGTGGAAATCTCTCCTAAACCAAGTCAAAGCCATCATAGGTATCCGTGACCATGACCGCAGCAAAATCATGAACATCCTCCACGGGCTGCAACAAAGGGACATCATCCTCGACACTCGCGACCGTGGCGAAATCGTGATCATATCCCGTGAGCTGTAACCATGAGTGTATCATCGTCACCCGTGACTACAGTAAAATCGTAAACATCTCCCGCGAAGCAGCAAGCACGGGGACATCATCATCAACACCTGCGATCGCGGCAAAGTCGTGTTAAAAACATCTCCCGTGGACTGCTGCGATCATGAGGATATCATCATTGTCACCCGCGGCCGTGCCGAAATCGTAAGCATCCCCTTCGGAAAGCCATCACGGGGACATTTTCATCGAGTCTCGCGAAAGCGGCTAATTCTTGAACGTCTCCCACGGGCTGCGATCGTGAGGGTACATCACCATCACCCTCGGCTAAATCGTGAACGTCTCCCGCGGGCCCCAATCACGGGGATATCATCTTTAGCAACCGGGGCCGCGGGAAGATCGTTAACATCTCCCTAGGTTAGCGGAGACATCATTATGTTCACCTGTGATCGTGGCAAACTGGTGGGTTTAAAACATATTTTTTTATCTATAACATGTTTTCCTCAATCCTCTGCGGCCCCCTTTTGCTTGCGGCCTAGTGGTAAATCCGGCACTGGCTTCATTACCTTTTATTTGTAATGTAGTTTACTTTTCCAGAGTCTAACTACTTTATCATCATGTTCTGTTGTGATCATCATAACTTCTCTTTTATCTGCCCACCTTACAACCATGATTGTTCCAGTATTGACAACCTCCTATTTGCAAACTAGTAACTCTTTCTGAAATTCAGGCATATCTATTCGCTCCCATCCTACTGTACCACAGGCATTGGTGTCATTCAAATGCAAAAACATAAACAGATCAGGACTACTATACCAGTTATCAACGTACAAACAATAACCCCAAGTTATGATCTCAACGCGACAAAAACAAATACCAAAAACAACTATCACCTTTGATACTGGTCTGTCAATTCTCAGTGCCACAAGGGTGTTGCACGTGATATTCCGTGCGTCGTGACAGTGTGTACAGAATACTACTATGGAATAATGCGTGTGTCGCGATTAAGGGGTTAAGAAAGTTATACCAGGTACTATATTGTATATCAATTGATTCAGGAAGAAACAGAGAGTGTTATTATGTTATTTGTATAGTGAAAACTTAACCATAATTTTGGAAATAAATATAATTTGTTGTAAATTTTCCATAAAATTTGAATGTTTTAAAAAAATTTTATAAAATGACTCATCAGCTGACCTTGGATTTCCAAGTCAGCAGACAATGAAAACAAGAATTCAATCAAGCTAACCAAATAAAAAATATTACAGCTGAGTTAGCAGGATAGCCAAGATCTTTAACTTTACATCCATGGATAATCTGGTCAATCAGTTAATCCCAAGCTTTAATGTATGTATAATAAATGGATCGGTCATTTTGTGACTGATGGCAGGAAACAAAGTCCCCCGATCGGCCATAAAATGACCGATCGTCAGTCCTAGGGTTAAAGAAATGCAAATTTTTATTTCCAGGATATGTTGCACATTCTTTGATTTCAATCAAAGACAGCAAACAATTATTAATTAATTAAATAAACAATATTTGTAAACGTTGCCATATATTTTACTGTCATAGATATAAGTTAAATACCTATTGCATGACAAAATAACTGAACAAATTAACATAAATAAAACCAATATGGATATTTTATTCACTTTAAATATTTAAAACCTCATACATAGAAGATATTGTAAACTTATCATTTTCAGGAGGTTCTTAACTTCTTGTATCAATACTATACTTATTAGTTAATGAGAGTATCTAGGAAAGAGAATTCAAAAAGCTAATACTTTTTTTTAGACTACATAGGGTACTACTAACATTACAGTAGGCCTATTAAAAATTAACCTAATCTTCGATGACAAATAATTAAGCTATTAATCTACAATAATAGAACGTACAGTAGAAGCTCGATAGCTCGACACTCCATATGGTTCGACACAGGCATCCCAGGATTCTATGACGTAACATGTCGGCAGCGGTCGATGACGGGTTTGCAGAGGTACTGACTAAATCCATCTTATTGTTTATGTGCACGCAAAAGATCTATACTTGAATCATCCCATTAATTAATACTTCTTTCAAACATCCAAAGTAAAAAGTAGTTGAAAATTACAAACTATTTTATACAGCCAAAGCTATTATTTTTTTTTTTGTAGCCAAAGAACGTTTAGTAGAGATGTAAGTCGATAAATTTGTTTATTTTGTCCAGTTTTATACTGTTCATTAAATTTGATTGTTTTATCCTGTAAATACTCCCTTATGTTTAAAATGTCCAATGGTTTGACTCCCTATAGTTTGACATTTCGATAGTTTGATACCATTTTAGTCCACAAAGTGTTCAATATCAAGGTTCTACTGTACTTTATCATTAGGTATTCTGTTTAACCCAAAATACCAAACAACTGAAACACTAGTATTAAAATGGCTTTTAATAAAGAGAGAGACAGAAAACCAAGATCGCATTCAGTCTTATAGTTTAAATTTTTGAAACAAAATTAAAACATTACACCCACCACAGCAAACCTGCAGACTAAGTGAATTTCCATTAGCCTGATTCAATTTTTACTCAAATGTTTCCTATACTTATGTTTGCTGCTACAAGGAAGTTAGATCATCTAGAAAGCCAAGAATATTTTCTATCATTCTAACCATAATCATTACACTATTGTACAAGTTAAAAGCCTGTTTTCAGAGTAATACAAAACATAAAATGTGAGAGGTTTTACACCAACACCGTGTAAAATAAATTGAGTTTTAAATATAAAAATATGTCTTGTTATTTTTATCTACTGTATTCCCTAGGACACTATTGCCTTTCCAAAATAGCACAATACCTTGATATTTCACAAGGCGAGACGACTTTGAGTTGATGGTATAATCCTCTAATGCTTTTTATATGTGTTATTACCATATTAACACTATGAGAATATAAACAACACTTTTTAAACTAATCACAAAAATAAGTTGAGGACTTCCTGAGGATTCACAATACCAAAACAAATGTGATAAAGACAAAGACAGACAAACAAGAAAACAAATACATATAAAGTAAAGGATATTATCTCTTAACAGGAGATCGCAGTATATCTTCAGTTGTGTCTATCACAGATCCTTGAGTCTCCCGGAAGACAGTCATGTCAACGTTGGAGCATGGAGGGGGGAGGTTTGGTGGAGTAGGAGTACCCACAATCTCGCCAACCTATCAAACAGAAACTTATCTATAATAAAGATGAGGTGGTACTGTGTGTGTGTGTGTGTGTATTTACACAATAAACACAAAAACTAATGAACCAGCTAGGCTTAAACTAATCAGAAATAAAACTACAGCTCGGAGGATTTGTATACAACTATTCTCGCTTCCCACTGCTTCCAAAGTTTAGAGGGGTGAGGTTCATTAAGTCCAAATTTCACAAAGTCCAAAAGTGAAATACTAATAACATAACATATAATACTAAAAACAAAAATGAAAAATGAAGTGAAATACTAATAACATAGTAATTCACAACTTCCAAGTTTCATTAAGTCAAAAAAAATCAAATGTTAAATAAACCTTGTTTCACAAAGTCCAAATGTATAATATTTAAATAAGCAGAGCGTTTCACTAAGTCCAAAATTAGCTTAAAGTACATTGTTGTTAACTTAGTGTTTGTGTTTTTCTACGCAACTACTTAAATTAAGCCCAAGGTAATAATATTTAAAACTAAGTTGTATACAGTTGACTTTTGTTTCTAAAATCAATGTTAAATGTGTTACTGTCTTTTTCTATAATCAATGGTAATAGTGTAAATGTAAATGCCTTGGACTATGGAATGGGTAAAGTGACACTTAGTATGCTGAGTTACCATATGATGCCAGCTGTTGTGTGTTTTTGGTGATGACATTTCTGTAGTAATTAACAATAGGGGGTGTTTTATAAACAAAAGGTAATGAACAAATAAAATAATGATTTTCTTTTTGCTTACTGTAAAATCCACTAAATGATCTGCAAGTTAAATGGGCCTAAGGCTGGGTCCACACTGTTTTTGAAGGAAGACGCCAACACACAGTATATTAAATTGCTGCGCACACATTGTTGGGTTAACTTTTATGTGGCACTAATGATTGTTTGCTTAGCTACAGTACTCTAGGCTGTAAGGTTCATTTGACCCATTAATTGACTTCAAAAATGGGTTTTTAATTAAATAGACTTATAAATAAGCGTATATTTTAAACCGTACACCACTTTTATATCATTTAGGGTCAGTGGTGCCCATACCACCCAAAGGCTTATGATGCAAATCCCCCCCCAAAACTGGTCAAGAGGCCAGTAGACCATATACTATCAAAATCTGTCGTGGAGTTCTGAATCCACCATCCTACCATCCACCCTCTAAAATGTTGATGGTACAAATGACAATGTTTGTTATGCATATTTCAATATTTGGTACTTATTTACCACCAATATTGAAATGCTGGTCAAACTCTTTGTTGCAAGAGTAGTTAAATAAACTTAACTTTCTGCAGTTTTAACATTTGTTGTTACACTTAGAAAATTACGAGCCGTGCCTTGCAATGTGAGGGATCTTTAAATCTATTATGAAATAGTTACACATCCACCATTGATTTTAGAAATATTATTCAACTATACTGCATAATTTGATGAAATTCTCTGTCTTTTAATTCAGATAAGTGGTAAGAAAATATCAAGCTACCTAGAACGATGTAAGTGGCTCTGATACAAGTCTCAATTACCGTAAATGTATTCAAACTGTTTTGACAAAAAATTAGTTTCTCTAACTATAACTAAAGAGAATAGCTAAAGAAGAATACAGCATGTAACATGGTACGGTAGCAAAGCAAATACGGAATTATCAATTCCAGGAATCGCTTTAACAATTGAATGCTTGGAAAGCAGTCATAAAAGGTGTTGTTTTGAATGAGAGAACTAAATATAATATTTTTCCATCAGTTATTAGTGAAAATTAACTTTTAACTGCAACAATTTAACAACATAACATACCAACACCATCAACAAACAAGAATAAAATTAGCATTAGTATGGCTCAAGCTAGAATATAGGTGGGTGGTAATCTAATCTATTTTGGTGAATAATCAAAAAACGATCGATGAAACAAAAAAAGGGCTGGAAACCGAACAGATAAAAGTTGTAACAGACACATCACTAAAAGTTACAAAGTTATAAGACATGTATATTTACTAAACAGTAAATAAATTGGCTTGTAAGTTGCTAACACATACAATCAATACAAGAGACACATTAATAACGCCGACAACACAAGCTATGTGGTAGGTATAAAGCAGAAGCAAATAACATTTTTTTAGTATTCATTTATATTTAATATGGCATATATGTATGGAACTAAAATATACCAATGGCCACTCCCATATACTGCTAGATAACTGGAATAACAAAGGGGAATATTGTCCCACCATAGACGATGAGTCAAGAATATGTATCATATAAAGTCAGTCGCTAGCTTTCCTAGTGGTTTGGTTTGACACAATCTATATCTGAGATTGAACCAATAGTACTCTACAGTTGACCCGTTGGAAGTTCAAACGTTGACACACACGTGGCCGTGAAGCAGAGTCTCAAACACAAGCAAATACAAGAATGAATCGTACGCTAAGCAGCAGGCTAAATCAACTGTGACATTTACGCAAAGTCTTCTCTAATGAATGTCTTATTATCCTTTGTTTCACTCGATTATACTGTCTGGATTAGCCTCTAGGGGAAGTAACCAACATGTTGCAAAAGTTTTGAAATGGCAAAAAAGGCTGCAAGAGTAAATCTGGGCTTAAGACTCATTGTAAACCTTTATCTAATAAAATAATATTGTTACTCTTGTTCATGTGATGACTCTTCTTTGTGAAACTCAAAGATAATTTTCATCTGTTTAATACCAAGACACAAAATTGGTTAGATTCTATTAGTGTGAAAATGTTTACAGTAGACTCCCTCTTATTCGGACAACTTTTATCATCATATCGGTTTAACCGGAAATGAAACCGACTTTCATCGTGGGAAAGATTTGACACCAGTGATCACGTGCCTGAATAAATATTCTCCCAAATTAAAGTTAAATATTTGGCTTAGTTTTCGAGTGATTCTTGCGACGTGCACATGTATCATTAGTAGACGTTCCTAATTTAACGAGTTTTATGGAACGTCGGTTTAACCAGTTAACCCGTTATCCGGACTAGCTTTGGTCCTGAGGAGTCCGGATAAGAGGGGTTCTTCTGTTATAAGTTACTATTACATGTACATTAAGTGTATGTTAGTTAACTTTAAACTGTGTTGGTTTGTTGCATAGAATAGAACTGGAATTTTAGTAAGTTGACCTTTTTTATGATATAGATGCATTTTTTAAAGTCGCTGCTGGTGATTTAAACACTGCATTTACAAAATGATATAATCTTATTTTAATTTTTGTTAAATTTTTATTTGTTTTCATTGTTATCATTTTATTGACCGTGAAATATTATTTAACTTATTGACTATTCAAGTCCATCGAGTGTTGATATTCATTAGACTAAATGATTTTAGACCTATCTATTGTTTTTGACGTGGTATATTATAATAATTGTAATTGTTCAATGACCAATTAATGGATCTTGAATCTTTGTTGGAAATACAGAACTCACATATGTGCGCCTGCCACCTGCTAATAAAAGAGCTCATCACTCCTAGACTGTGATTATTCATTGTTATTATTTTTGTCACAACTTTGTCAATCATTGCTCTTCAATAAAAACATAAAACAGCAGTACATTAAAGCATTGCTGTTAGATTTGGCTGCCTAAAATTCACTAATGGTTAATCTAATTCACAGTTTAAATGGTCTCTTAATGGTCCAACCTCCTCCTAAATCTGGCTTATTGCCGCCCATTTCAACTGGATTATCGAGGTTCTACGGTGTTTTGGAAAAAGGTGTACGAAATTCAGCTCTTAATATAACACATCTGAAAATTTTACTTGCACACCCACTATGGATGGTTTTTGTGATCAATTAGAGAAACCACTTGCATATCTCAAATAGAACGTGTGAAGAAGCGTTTCACATAAACTTCATGATGGGCCTCCCGCAAATGATAACCCACTTATGACCTTTTATATTGCCAGCTTATACTGGCAGTAAGAGTAAGAAGATGTAAAAGATGGTTAATTACGATGAGGTACCTCAAAGGCAGGTTCCACTTCAATTGAGACCGAAGGGGACGGACTTCCTCGATGTGGGTCCAACAATGAACAAAGCTGAAACAAACATATATAGTGATGGATTCTGAGATAATAAAATATTAAAGTTTGCCGCGTCCACACATCCTCATGTCTCCATGAAGCTCGAGGGGGTTGAGCCCTCCAATGTATAGGGTTTGGCCTCCCAAAAACTATTATTATTCTTATTGAAGGTTTGTGGGAATCACCAAAATCACAACAGGATGGGACTAAAGTCATTTATGACCTAATTTTGGGACAAAGAATTTTGGGGGAGTTTGGGAAAAGGACAGGATCAGACAATTTCACTGAGATCACGGAAGACGATCAAAATTGTTCTACGTTCGTGGGAGATGATTATTATACCCTCGGGGCTTATTTATTTTAGTTATTTATAAAGTTATGTTATTTACTTTAACGAGAGGCCCTCCCAATAATCTTCAAAAGAAGGTGTCCATGCGTGTCTTTGTGTTGGCCTGTTTGATCATCTAGTAGAAGTGTGCGAGCCCAAAGATTTTAGATCAAGCCGACCTCAAGTCATCTCCCATGGGTGTGTTGACATAATCATCATCTCCTGCAATTACGCAGATATTGTCTCCCGTGATCTCGGAAACATTAGCTTCTTTATCCACTATATCAGTGAAAGCTAGATTTATTGATTATGCTCTTAGAATATGCGTTCTGTTACTGTATCACAATTGAAATACTCGCCTTGAGCTTGATTTTTTTACTTGGTGATTGGGAAACTTTTGGTAGATATAACAATATACACACAACAACAATATAACAATATTGTTGTTGGTACTCATATGAAAATAACTCATATGAAAATATTCTATGTAAAAATATTACAAAGTAAGTAGACACATGATAATCCACGAGTGGATTAACTACAATTGCCTAGTAGGCTATGTTATACAGGCGACAACCAAGATGTTCAGCATGAGGAGACCAATCATCATTTTACAGCCAGACTATTTAGTTGCCATTGTTTACTTCATTCACCAACAGGGCAATTGATTATAAAACTACATTTTGGGTGTTTTAATTTTTAGAGAATTTTCCACATATGGTAAGACCTGGACCCGGGACTGATTTACTTTTTTATTTTGAGGTCCCTAGAAACTAAAAACACCATCCGTTCAAATTCATATATATATATGTCCATTAGCACGATAACTCAAGCAAAAATGATACGATTTTGATGAAATTTGGTATAAACGTGTAAACCTACATTTATCCGAACGAGTTTGCGAACCAGCATGATCGGACTAACGGGGGTTTATAGGTGGTTTTATGTTTTTAAAAATTGGTTTTTCCCATTTTTGACCCTAAAAACACAAAATTTCACAATTTCTTTCCAAACCATTTTGTAGAGCTTAAAAAAACAAATAATTTAGTATATTGAAGTGTTATTATGCGCCTAATGGTTAAGAAGAAAATTCCAAAAAATTGTGAATTTAAAATTCTTATGTTATTCTTATGGAGAGTAAGTCAACTGTTGTAGTTTGCTTGTTAAAGAACTTTTTTTGATCAAATTTGGAAAATACATTAATTTCTTACTAAAATATTTACATTAAAAAAACACTTTTTTACCCTCCCTGTTGCAGCAAACCTAAGTACTCGTTAAACTAATTTTATTTAAATAGGGAATAAATGTGATATTCTCAAGGAGGCATTTTAGTGTAAATCCGATCAGGCAAATGGAAATTCGCTTATTCTGCAGGTTTGCTGTGGCGAGAGTATTGTTATTACTAGGCCTGGGCTCTCTACTATATTTTTTTTGTAAAATTTACATAGGCATAATGTAAAAGAAAGTTAAAGGATATGAAGAGTGCATTTGAAATGTTTCATTCTTAACCTAAACCGGTATAAAAGATTCACCATACATTCAAAGTCGATGTTAATTGTTTTCTGAGCACTTTTGTTTAGGTTTGCATTATCCACAATTTCAGTTATCCACGATCATTTAGCCACTCATTATCGTGGACAATAGGAAATCAACTGTATTCGGTTTGATCCGAAAATCACTTTTTGCACATCCATATGTAAATCATAACAAAATTAGAACTTACAATAAAGAAGTAGTTAGATAAAATGAAAGTACCTCGTGGATGCCGGTGAGTGCTTGTTGTGCTGGAATGTTACTGTGAGGTACACATTGCTCTAGGACGCTGTGGTACTGAGCAAGCTTCAGTTGTACCAACGACATTACAGCCCGGCAATGCTTGAGCTCACTACGAACCACCCCAGGATCCTGCAATACGCAATACAGTGATATCTAGACCAATGCAGAGTTTCAGACTATTTATCACGATAATTCTTCTCAGGTTATTGTTGGTTGCCAATGATTATAGCAAAAATAAACTTCTATGGCTTTGTGTCTTGGATTCAAGTTTTGAAAGGGATATATTTTGTTTTATTTAAAGACAAATTAATGCAAACAGAGGAATAACTTAAGAGGTCACAAGGCTGCTAACACTAACTTGTCTTCAGAAGGAGGTCTTATCATCGTAAAAAAAATTTAACTTTGAGAAGTGGCCAGATGAAAGGACATGAAAACTCAAGAAAACTCACTGAATATGTGGAGTTTTACAGCATTTTGTTCAAACAAAGGAATTTTTAACAACTCAAATTATCTCGAGCATGAAAAACTTGAACGATGTATGTGTAAAACATTAATTAAACTCTTTATTGTATAATCTCCTGTCATGTGGATGTGAGCAGTGATGTGTCATTGTGAAGGGTTACAATCAAAATCCCAACCATTCAAAATGCTTAGACTACTACAGTCGCATTCAAAATGCTTCGACTACTACAGTCGCATTCAAAATGCTTCGACTACTACAGTCGCATTCAAAATGCTTCGACTACTACAGTCGCATTCAAAATGCTTCAACTAATACAGTCGCATTCAAAATGTACTTGACTGCAACTGCACAATCTCACACTTGGACAATGAACGGGAAGCTCGTTTTTATCTTGAATGATTTCATTTGTCACGGGTTATTTCTCTTCTTAAAATATCTCAGAACTTATATATACAGGGTGTCTCACAAATAGGTTTAAATGTTTAATTTTGTTGCGAATTTCCCTATGGTGAAGTAGCTATTACCATAGGTGGCACGGTAAGACCTAGGCCAGAGACTGATTTACTTTTGTCATTTTGATGTCCCCAGAAGCCAAAAACACTTTTTGTTCAAATTTATGTATACATATATAGCTGTATATGTGTCCGTGATCGCAACAACTTGAGTAATTTTTGCCCAATTTTGATTAAATTTGGTTTAAAGATGTAAGGCAGGATAAACTTGAATGAGTTTGCGAACCAGCATGATTGGGCCATGATGGGAACGGGGTTTTACAGGGGGTTTTTATGGGGTAAAAATTGGTTTATTTAATTTTTTACAATCAAAACACAAAATTTCCCAATTTTATTTCTAGACCTTTTTAAAGACCTTAAAAACAAATAATTTAATATGTCGAAGTGTTTTTGTACATTGGTAACGGAGAAAATTCAAAAAATTTAAAATTCCTATGTTATTCTTATGGAGAATATTGTAAAATGTAGTTTGCTTGTTTATGGATATATTTTGATCAAACCTGGCAATTTTTTTTATACAAAGCTATTAATATTTTACTTAAAACCACACTTAATTAGTTTTCTTGTCGCAGCAAACCTAGGTACTCGTTAAACCCAATGTTATTTAAATAGATTTAATTTGAAATAAATTCAGACAAATGGAAATTCGCTTGGTCGGCAGGTTTGCTGCAGCGGGGGTATTGTATTATTTGCCAATTCATGCATTGAACATTTTGAAACATGACACAATTTATAAAGTAGATTCTGAAAATATTCTTGGAAAATTTCAGCTCCCTAGCCCTCGTAGAATAAAATAGTGTCATATTGAAAAATTATACTTTAAAAACTTTAAAAATGTTTTTCATGTTTAATAAAATATTTTTATTGCCACATCATAAGGGAATACAGCTTTTTAATCAGGAAACTAGAACATAGCCAAATGAAAAACCTAAAAGTAGAGTACTAAATTATTCAAAATGAGATCCATCCACAGCGACACACTGATAACAGCGATTTGAAAATTAATCGTAAACTTTTAAAAAGAAATTCTGCGGTATCCGGAGAGGTTCCTCTTTAATTGATCGTTTTAGTTCCTCGTCATTATTGAAGCTATGAGTATAAACTTGAGCATTCAAGTAACCCCATAAAAATAAGTCACACAAAGTTAAATCTGGGGATCAGGGCTAAAAAATCACTTCCACGACCAATCTAACGGCCATGAAGGTTGTCATTTGGTTGACGATTCATTTGTTAAGCGCTGTTATTAGTGTGTCGCTATGGATGGATCACAGATGGAATAATTTTGGACTCTACTTTAAGGTTTTTTATTAGGCTTTGTTCTAGTTCCCTGATTAAAATCTTTATTCCCCTATAATGTGATAATACAAATATTTTATAAAACAAAAAACACCATTTTAATGTTTTTAACATTTTCAATGTGACACCATTTTGTTTCTACAAGGGTTAGGGAGCTGAAATTTTCAAAAATTTTTTTTAAAATCTACTTTATAAATGATGTAAAGTTTCAAAAAATTAGGTGTATGGGCTAGTAAAATGAAATCAAACGTTTAAACCTCTTTGTGGGACACCCAGTATATATTGGTGGGTTTGGCCTCTGGGGACCTCAAAACAAAAAAATGTGGTATTTTATACATTTGTGTTTTGTTAAGTCCTAATTTTTGAAAAGCTGGATAAAGAGATATTTATTTACATCAAGTGTGAAGCCATCAATTATGTTAGAGTTGTCGTGTGAGCCATCAGAGATACTGGCGTTTCTGGTTGATAGCTTCTTCAGTCTGTAAAGTAATAAAGATGTTATTAAACACTGAGTGAAGTTATGAATGCATTACACAAATAGATAAATACTAACTCTTATACTGTTTCTGTCGACATTCATTGTGGTTTAACTATTTTATAATTAAAACAAAGGACTTGGATTGACTTAAACACATTGGAATACCATTACAAACATCTTAATATCAATTGCACAGGTGTTGTTAAAAGAAAATGCATCTTTTGTAAAAAAAAACTTAATTCCTTAATAAATATGTATCAAATGTACCGTTAGTAGTCCACTATCTTGATATTCTAGTTGGTCTGAACGTGGACTCACAGTATGCAGAAATATATTGTCATCTATGGAATACGTAATTATTAAAAAATAAAATGTTGTCTGATAGAAGTAGTCTTTTTTATCTGAAAACTCAGAAATAAACATGAATATCTCGAATGAAGGTGGCTTGTTGAGGCTAACGCAACAACACAGACATTACAATACCGGGACTACAAACACAAAATACCTAGGCATCATAATTGACTCTAAGCTGTCATGGAAACCCCGCATAGACCAGCTCTGCAAAAATCTATGCTCATGTCTCTACGTCATACATAGGATCGAGCAAGCTTGCAGCCCAAAAGTAGCCAGGGTTGCCTATTTTCCTCTATTTGAGTCCCACCTCAGATATGGCATTGCGACTTGGGGTGGAACCTCAAAAGGCAACCTGGAAAGAGTACTCCTAAAGCAAAAAAGAGCAATTAGATTCTGGCCAACCTAAACTATAGAGACAGTTGTCGAGAAGCCTTCAAGAACCTTAAAATTCTCACATCAGTTTCACTCCACATAAGAGAAGTCATTATCCACACCACTACAACAGCGCAGCCAAGACACAGAGACATACACCAGCACAACACACGACATGCAGCCAATATTTCCCTCCCACAACACCATCTGAGTCTGTACGAGCAGAAACCATCCTATAAAGGTGCTCTCTACTTTAACAACCTACTAGAGCACCTTAAGAGAGAACAACCCAATCTGTTCAAGAAGCACCTGACAACATGGCTTATGGACCGGCCATTGTACTCAGAGGATGAATTCCTAAACAATAAGCTATTATAAAAAAATGCTAATTGTAATAGCAAATAACTGTAATAATTGTACCTGACGCATGAATGTTCTCAAGGAATATTTCAATAAAGAATTTATCTATTGTCTATTGTATAGTTAGCTAAAATACCATATTATGGTGGTTTATTCACAATTTGGGATTTTGTAATCAACACTTTATTTGAAATATAAACTTAATTGGCACTCTGAATCAAGCTGAAACCAAACAAAATCATGATGGTAACTTCAAGAAAATATAACTATAGAAGTGTTCATAAAACTTTTAGAATAGTCAGTAAAAACACTTTGTGATGTAAAACATAAAAATATACAACACTATTTGTATTAAGTGAATGGTTCTGGTGAATAAAAATGTTTAACAAAATCTTCAGTTGTCTCTGGCCAAGCGACCTCCATCGGCTGTAGAATCCTGAAATACATCAAATATAAACAGTTTACACAAGTCAGAAACATTGGTTCCTTATACAAACAAAAGCCAGATCTATATCTACAACCCAAGTTAGCCATACTTTGTTTGGGGAAAGTTTTCATCTTGATACTTTATGTGTAAGGAGTATAATATATTTCAATCCTACAACTCATGAGATTCTGCAACTTACCTGGTGGTAATGTAGCTAGTCTTGTGAGTTGTGGACTCACTCAGTTTCTGAGGTCTGGGATAGTGGTTTGGAGCTCGATGCATATCTGGTCTTCCCCCCACTGTCACTGGAATGAGATTGGGGAATGCTGTCTGGGTAGGTTGTTTGTAGCTCTGCAACAAAAAAGAATCTTAATCAAACTTTGAAAAATAAAATACCCACATAGATTTGATGAGAAATTCCAATATGAAATCATTTTCAATTGATCAACAAAGTCTTTACCCGTCAAAGTACAAATTTGTTCGTTTGAAATGGTGTCAAGGGGTTATAAAGTAAATAAGTAGCAGAGAAGAAAGCCATTAAGTGATACCGGTGCTACTTTTGCTGCTCTAGTGACCTTACTTGTGTCACACTGGCTGGAATGTAGATCAGTCTACGGCTTCCGCAGTAATGACCGTTTCAAGTTTATTACAACAGCTGATGATTTAGTATTCATTTTGCCATTTTAATTACCATATCATAATGTAGAATAAGACTGTTACAGTCAACTGAAAATAAATAAAAAATATACTTTTAATCATTATAATATATATAGCCAGTTGATCTAAAATGTATTATTGCAATATGTCTAGAATAAGCTGACCTAATTACGTTTAGTGTTTTGACAACAGTTATATTGAAAAACAAAGAACTGTACTTTGAATAACGCTGGCTCAATAAAGACGTTTTTCAATTCATTTCATAATTAATTATAAATAAATGTTTACACTTTGGGATTGACCCATTTATTTGTATTTGAGCATTACTTATACATTCAAGTAGGCCCTACCTGTGGGTTTTTAAGGTGCAATGCATGGTCGATGATGCAGGATATATCCATAGTTCCTGGATATCTCATGAGCATAGTAAGGCACGAGGTGTAGTCTGAAATGAGCACTGCAATAACAAACAGTAAGAGTACAATTATAATCAAACATTAATAATTTTGAGTCAGGTCAATTTAATTGCAAAACTTCTACAGTAACAAAACTGAATAATAGTGTATTTTCAAAACGATTATCTATATATTACTACTCAATGAAATGCCTAAAGATCCAGTGAGAACACTCTTCTTCTTCTCATGTGCAATCTGATGCAAAAGTAATTCTATATTTTAACTTGTCAACTGCCAAGCCAATTTATATGTATGGCACCAAATTTTGACTAACCTGGTTTCTTGAGATTTCAATGAACTAGTCATTATATTTATAAATGTGTAATTTTGCTATTAGTAAGCATTTACGATGCAAATAGTGTTACAAACCTGGCCCTGTGTTCAGCAGGGCTACCTGTCTGTTGGTCGTGGTCCAAGCAATAACTGTGGTCGAAGGCAGTTGGCGTGTGTGTGTGTATGTCTGTCAGAGAGAGAGAGAGAGAGCTTGTGTGTGTGGTTGTGTGTGCGTGTGCGAGGAGGTATAGTCTCATTTTGTCTGGACTTTATTAGTCCAAATTGCACTAATTGTCCAAATAAGAAAACTGTCTTACCGGTATTTTGTATATATTTTTATTTTTTATTGTAGTTGTTCCATAAATATCAATTTTTTGTTTATTTCTAATATTTATTTCCTGATAGCAAAAATCTCTCATGCATGGGCAGTAGCCTATGTGAGAGGCATTTCATATTTAATGACTATGTTAGTATATTATTACATCACTATAGCATAACTATAAAATTTGTACTGACAAAGTATTGTAACAGTGTATTTTACTTCCTGAAATAAACATGATTTTATTTTATTTGATCAGCAAGGAAGTAGATTATCAGATTATGTTATGATTGTGATAAAAACTATTGTGCATTGTAAGACATCGGTTCTCTAACTCCGGATTGAAATAGCCTGTTGTTAACATGTAACATAACTCACACTGATGCCTAATGGCGATGAGCATAGCAACAACAATGTAGTCTACCAGTTGGAAGACGGTGCCTTCAGCAAAGATGGCATCCCATAGTACTAGAAGGTCTTGTAGGGGGAACTCCCTGCCAAACAGTAGCCTCAACCATCGACTGTGACAAAACAAATACATATATACACTCATACTGTTGACTCAAGACGGTAAATACATATAAAAGATGATTAGTGTTGATCGATTTCGCACCATTTTGGCAAATGTCATTCGCCAATTGGGGATTGGAGTGTCCAATCAAAATCGATCACCACTAATAATCTTTTATATGTATTTATCATCTTGAGTCAACGGTATAAGTGTAAAAAAATAATATATTATATTATTACAAATTTTATACTGTTATTAGTCTATTTCTAGTTACTCTAATTACTATTACTATCTTTGGATTTTTAGAAAAACTAAGTAGAAAATAAATACTAGTGATATAACGAGGAAAAAAATGTATTTATTCTCGCTACTGATAACTTAACATCTATTTTTAATTATTGATACCGATACCATTTTTTTATACTATACCAAATTTTCTCTATGGAATGGTTATACTAAACCAACCCCTATCTTTATGTCCGTCCATAAACTCATTTTGGAGTAATAGGGTGTTTTTACGGTGAAGAAAAATATAGTACACAAATGGAAAAACCCTTCTAAGCACATAAATAAAAATACCATATCAAAGGAAAATGAAGATAGCCTACCTGTTACAAAAAATATCAAAAAGAACAAGTTTATTAACTAGAGGGTATAACCGTCAACCGACCTAATATTTTCGATCAATCCAAACTCGAGATAATATTTGTGAATACTCCTGCAATCAATGGGTATGCGATCACTGCAAAATTATAAAAATCTTCCTCAGTCACGGAAACGTCATCACTGTTTTCTCTGGTTGCAGCAAAATCTTGAATAACGTTCAGCGGTAACAAAAACATAATTATTGTCTCCCACGGTTACGGAAAAATTATTTTCCTCTTCTGTGCTCATGGAGATATCATCATAATTTTACAAGATCGTGGCAAATCATGAACTCCATAGTCCATGGTCATGTTAATATTATCATCGTCTTCCGCAATCGCGACAAAATCCTGATCTGTCTCCCACGGTCACAGCAAAATTCTGAATATCTCCTGCGGCCATGTAAACATAAGCATTTTGTCTCCCCCGGTCATGGATTCATCACTGTTGTCAAGTGAGATTGGGTCAAAAGCGGTAATTTTACAATCGCACACTCTTTACAGACAGGTATCGGCATCGACTTTTGACAATCAATTTTTTATATATTTTAAAACCTGGAAAATGAATCTAAAATTGATAAAATCTGAGGTGGCATGTTCCATTTAATTAACAGGCTTGTAAATCTCACAAACATTGTATTTTATGGTGCAAAGCTTAATTACAATGACTTCAAAGATTGATCAGTCACTTATATGAACATTTCTGTGAATTGCACTTCTGGTTTTAGTTCATTGCCGATGTCACAGGAATTAATGATGTTCAAACCTAGTGAATTATGTTTCAATTCAATAAAGCATTTTCTATTTAATTCTCAGTGATATAATGTTACTTACAGTAAAACCTCATTAATGTGGACTCGATCAATTCATAATATGCCTAATCCGGACGGTTATTTGACAATAGTTTATAAACATTGAAAGCAGCTAAGTCAGGAATGAGGTATAAAAAACCCACAAAGTTTTATAGCATGCTGTTTAATAGTGCATGATTGCCTCTGTGCATGCGGGGATAGAGGTAGGTGAGTGTACTGTTGCAATGTAACTCACAAATCTTCTGTCTTTGTAGGGATTGAACCTTAAAAGAATGTAATATTCCTTGATAAAAAATGCTACTGACATAAAAAATTTCCAAAAATGTTTAAAATAATAACTCACATTCCAAACAAAGGAAGAGAAATGTCAAGCTGTTGGAGATGCTGGTGAAGCTCTGGATCAATCGGAGCCAAGAGTTGATCTTTGATCCAGTTCAGCTGCTGCAGCACTTGGTTTTCACATAAAGGACTCTGGAACGACATTAGTTAAACTATCAAAAAACTTAAGACACAACTCTTAACCCATAGGGTCGTCCATAGCTTAAGGTCTCAAATCAGCACTCTTTTTATACTTCTATAAAATTTGTTCAATAAACACCTATCAACTAGCGATGGATCTACTCCTTCCACAGAAATATAATAATAGAACGTAAATTGGTACTTGGCGTGAGTGTCAATTTTCCCATCGGAATTGGCTACTACGAGGAGACTAACAGGAGTAGCATAGGGGAGACCAGCTCACAATGCTGGTGTCAGATTTGGACTAGCTCACTTGGAGGCCTTTATTTACAGGCAACTCTTGTACTTACAAAATCAATCGTTGAATGACTGATGAGAGTAAGGTGCAATAAACCCATGGAAGGGTTGGAAAGCTATATCTGCCCTGGTCGAAAATGTCTATTCCAAAAAGAAATTATGTTTTGGTGGGTAACCAGACTTCTCACAGAAGACCACAAAGGAAAAATGGTTTTCACGGCCATTTTTAAACTCCCTAACTGTTGATACATATGCTATATATTTTATGCCAACGTTTACAAAAGTATTACTCTTTGTTTATTCTCTTTTAAGTAGGATTACATCCCCAACAGAAAATTCAAGATATCGACTCAACAACTGCAGCCTGTTGCTATATTTCAGTAGACTAAATGGTATAAATATTTAAATTCTAATAAATAGTCTCAAAATTTACCTAGTGAAAATTAAAGACAAACAACACTAACCCATTTCTGCACTATCTTAACCTTATTATTACATTAGGGCCATAAACTTCAGTCATCTTCTTATTATTATTATTATTTTATTCAATAATTTTGAAAATATTTCTTGACACACAGCAAAGTGTACACGATCAGCTATGGAGCTGCAAGCAAATGGCGCCGTAGAAAGTGGCAAGGAGCCTCGTTTTGGCATTCCTCATGAACTAAGAAGCAATAGGCATTGCAAACACGGCCCTTGCTTGAAAAACTGACTTTTGGTTTGGATAAAACTCTACGGTTTAAAATCAATTGTTTTAAGAGAAAGAGATATATTGCATGAGGAAAGTTAACTTTCAACTCTGAAAGAATATGATGTTTTTGTAGTTTTAAATTAAGTAAAAAGTTGATGGTTTAAGTTTTTAATTGGTCAACACTTTACCAACAATTAAAAATATGAATTAACTATAATTTAACTACAAAAAACTCCAACACAGATTTGTTTAGCTTTTACTGTTTTTAAATATACATAGTTTACTTACAACAAAAATGTAATTATATTGCCGAGTTCTTGAGCCAACTAAGAATATGATTGTTATTGTATATTTGAACATACCGGTATGTTGTTCTCTGATAGGGTCTTAATAGAGAAACAAAAATTGCTAATATTTATTTGGAAACAAGTTAACCAGTTTTGGATACTTACTGAGGGGGAGGAATCGGTTGGGAAATAACCAGTGCTGGACAGTTCAACATTAGTTATGTGGTAGTAACCTTGAATTGCAAACATCACTTTGAGGAACAGAGCGCTGTGAAACACATAAACAGTTAGAAAAGTTCTAGGTAAAGTTCTTCCAGGTAACTAAGGACTAAGCAAATTTCAACTTGTCTGATTATAGTTTTGCGCAATTAAAGGGTCACCGAAAAAGGCCTATCCTAGGGTTGAAGTAGGGATAACTTCACTTTTGGCAAAAATTGAAAATTGAGCCGCGCAGCTCTAGTCGCACGGCTCTAGTGGCTCTAGTCGCGCGGCTGTAGACGCTCGATATGAATGGGTTGCATTTACTTTGCATTGAAGCAGTCAATTTTTAGAGTCGTAACAGTTGCAGGATAGGAATCAGACCTTTAATGAGAAAATTACATTTCTATATAGGGACTAATGCCAATACTATGATGCAATATCAGTGATATGATTTGTCCTAATGGTAGATTATATGAGCTTTGAAGAACTATATCTCGCAAACTGTTAGGCTTACTTTTAAAATAGTCATGGTTGTTGCAGTGAAAAAGTTATGCTTCAGGGTAAAAATTATCCAAACTTTAACAAATTATTTGCAGAGCATAAATCTTGGAAGCTAATCAAATCAAATCAAATCAAATTATATCTCTATTCACTTTATACATTTTACATAAATGAATAGTGTCAACAGGCTATTAGGTCTATTAGTGCTATTAGGTCTGTAATAACCAATTTGGTCTTAAACTATTGGTAATTTAATATAATCTACTTTTGAAATGACTATAGTTGTTTTCATGTAAAAGTGATACTTCAGGGTCAAAATTGGACAAACGTCAAAAAAGTGCAAAAATCTGCCGATTTCTACGCTTTTTGGCAATGATCCGATGATTTGGCAATGAGGTCGATAATTTGGATTTAGCATCTCGGTACTATCACATACAACGCAAAAAAATAAACCTACTACCCCATTTCATGCAGGGTAAAATGCACAAGGTTACTGAATTATCTATTTTGATTGAGACAAGATAAAAAAAAAAACAGTTAAAAACGCCTGCAGAAAGTCAACACAATACCCGCAATACAGGAACGTGTTGTTGTTGCGTTTCCTTTGCGAAGGCGTTCTTATTAAATTAATTCTTACATGTATACATTAATTTTAACATGTAAATATTGCTTTAATTTTTTTATAATTTTTTGTTCTGACATTGCAAATGATGAGAAGTTTGGTTAAGTGTAAGCAGTGTGAGACATGTTTCAATACTGTAAACATAGCCAAAACAAGTCACTCCAAAATCATTCCAATCCTAATATATAACATAAGACTGAAAAATTGTAACTTGATACTTCACTAGTAAGAATAATGTTTTAGACTGATAAATTTGGTACTTTTAAAATTCTACTATTAATACTTAACTAGTAAGACTGATAAATTTTGTATTTATTATTTTTAAGGTTATCTGATAAAAGATATGAATTATTAAAGAAATTGACAGCAAAGCAGGCTTACCTTTACATATGTCCATAGAGACGTTTTTGTGTTTTGTATGTTATGTGTCTCTGTGGACGTATTTAAAGGTAAGCCTGATTTCCTGTCAATTTCCTTAGTATTTATTATTTTATTTTTCAAAGTTACACAATATTCTAAATTGATATCACCATGTTTCCTATGCGTACGAGTTATTTTTAATAGGGTAGGCCTTATTAATACTTGATTTTATAACTTATTTTGTTATTATTACTTTTTTTTGTTACTTATTTTTATATTACTGGTGTTTTTATCAGGGTTTTTATAAAAGATTTAAAATATTCTTGAATATTATTATTATTTTTATATTTAACTATGTCATCTGTCATAAATCATTAGGTGTTTCACAATGTTACAAAATCAGATTGAAATGTCAAGATCTCGTCTCAAAATTTGATGAAAAATAAAAAAATCCTGCCTTGTCCTGTCTTGAACTAAAAATCCAATCTCGTAATCCCTAGTATAAATTTATGCATTTCTACTTAATTATACTTATGCTTAAGTACACTTACTAACTGTCTTCTTCAACATATTTTGGATCCAAAAGGTCACTGATGATTTCACTAAAAATAGAACAAAAATCATAAGAATACATTAAACAAGAAAACTTGGCAGTTCACTGTTTTTATTGGTTTTTTTATCATAGGAAGAATTCATCCAGTTACTTCAGTACAGAATAAAGGTATACGATGTTTCTGAGATTCATTTCTCAAAATAAATTTCAAACTCTATTTTGGACTAGCATGCAGGTCCAATATTTGCGTATTTGTGTCAATTTTGAGGGCAAACAGTGTAAAAAAAGAACTATGCTAAGTCACCATAAACTAACTAACCAAATAAAAAAGAAAACAAAAACCTAAACATAACATTAAGCAAATGAAAACTAACAAAATTGAATAAAACTATAGAAAGAACAGACTAATAAGCTAAAATTAGTTATTTCATTAGTCCAAAATAACTATAGGATACACAATCGAATTAGCTGGAAGAGTATCCATGGATTGGCAATAACGTAAAATATAAGTAAGTTGTAACTTAATGTAGGATATGTTAGAAACGTATTCAAAAGCACACTCTTCACACAACACTGAAAAATATCACCCAACTAGTTCATTTTTTAGGCTTTCTTTGGGGCATGATTTTTTTCTATCCCAAAATGTTCAAATAATGTTAAAGTTAAACATAGTAGAAGATGTACATGTACAATTTATTACCTACTGTATAAGTATATCCGAGCTATTGTCATACCTGATTTGGTCCAAGTCCCGTACATGCAAGTAGGCTTGATGATCACAATGTATCACAAATAATAGCGGGGCCAGGATTTCATGCATGCCCTGTAAATATAACCAACTACATTGTAGCACTACCTATAAATATTACCATAACTATCTGACATACATAAACTGTATTCTACAACTTAACCCTTTCAATATATACGGATATGGACAGTTATATCTGCCAATCTTTGTTTACTTTCTTTCTGGGCTGAAAACAGATATACTGTATCCGTCCCGAGAAATTTCTTTTCTGGTCTTTAGATGGATATATCCGTCCAAAAAACTAATTGATATACAATGTTTATAAACATTGCACTGGATTATAAATGGGTTATTTTCTTTTTTGTGGTTGGCAATAATAATTTACGCAGCTGTTTCAGCTATTTTGCACCATAGAGTGTGTGTAAGTAAATATTGCTGTCACTTCACACATGGTTGTTAGTGATGTTTACATGTTGTATTTTGTACTATATTTTTATGTTTTAGAGCTAAAGTTACTAATGCAAACGATCTGATATTTAAAGATGTTATCGAGATGCTTAGTAAAAGTATGTCTGAGGGGGTTTTATAAGTATAAAACCCCCCTCAGACATACCAAGTGGCACCAGTGGACATACTGCCAAGTGTTAGTGAAAATAATAGTATGGAATGTGATGGATATGATGAACCTGAAGAACAGTCTTTACGTAGTGGAAGTCTTGGCGGGGAATGGGATTGAGGACATGGGAGCAGAACTGAGTGGTTTAGATTTACTTGAGAATGATAGATACATGTTAATGGAAAAAAAATAAAACGAGGGAAGGAATAGCTTAAGGTTGACGGATATATCCGTCTGCCACCCACAAGAATACTCAAGATTATTGGTAGTGTTCATATTTCGTGATTATCACTAAGGGTGGCAGATAGATATATCCGTCAAATCAAATTTAATTTTGTTAATAACTTTTGTACAAAAATTAATGTTAAATTAATGTGCTGCCTGCAGTACCCTCAGTCGGCAATTAATTTTACTGAATCCGTCCAATTTTACTCTAATTGTTATAGAAAGAAAACCTTAAGTAATAAGTTTTTTGCCATTTTGTTCACAGTAAAAATGTCTACAAAACAGTGGTAATTAAATAATCAAAGTGTTATATAAAAATAGAAATAAATTATAAAATTACAAAGATTAAATAAAAATAAAATATTAAAAACATTTTTTTAAAGTAAACTTGACTATCAAATTCCAAGATTAATCCAGACACCAAATGACACTACTATTATAAAGTTTAATTGATTCCCTACGTAGAAAAAAATCACAAGTTGTTTACTTTTATAAGTAATATCACAAAGAATATAAGTAATCACAAATACTTAAGTAATAACATGGGAAAAGTTTTGTTTACCTAGCCGCAGCTGATTTTGGGTGATATCTGGTTTCCATGGCAACACATTAATGTTTTTATTTGCAAAAATAAATGAGTGAATACGCAAAACAAGAAGCAAGATATTTATAAACATTATAAAATTAAGACAATAACAAAAAGGGGGAAAAATAATAATAAAATAACTACCGACAGTGGTGCTGCGAAGCGGTGACACAAGCAGCACTTGTAAGTCAGCCGCCGGGCCTGCAGCGGCCATACGAGTAACGCTTGTAAGTGGGCGCCAATGGGTTTAATATACAACAAATGTTCCCACAACAATTTTGATCAATCTAGTTCTGACCTGCAGAAGTCTCTAAGCACCTGGACTCGATTTTATTTAGGTAGCTAAGCTAAATGTGGATGAACTTTATTTTTATTTAGGTAGCTAGGCTACAGGTGGCTGAACTTTATTTTTATTTAGGTAGCTAGGCTACAGGTGGCTGAACTTTATTTTTATTTAGGTAGCTAGGCTACAGGTGGCTGAACTTTATTTTTATTTAGGTAGCAAGGCTACAGGTGGCTGAACTTTATTTTTATTTAGGTAGCTAGGCTACAGGTGGCTGAACCTTATTTTTATTTAGGTAGCTAGGCTACAGGTGGCTGAACCTTATTTTTATTTAGGTAGCTAGGCTACAGGTGGCTGAACCTTATTTTTATTTAGGTAGCTAGGCTACAGGTGGCTGAACCTTATTTTTATTTAGGTAGCTAGGCTACAGGTGGCTGAACCTTATTTTTATTTAGGTAGCTAGGCTACAGGTGGCTGAACCTTATTTTTATTTAGGTAGCTAGGCTACAGGTGGCTGAACTTTATTTTTATTTAGGTAGCTAGGCTAACAGGTGGCTGAACTTTATTTTTATTTAGGTAGCTAGGCTACAGGTGCCTGAACCTTATTTTTATTTAGGTAGCTAGGCTACAGGTGGCTGAACCTTATTTTTATTTAGGTAGCTAGGCTACAGGTGGCTGAACCTTATTTTTATTTAGGTAGCTAGGCTACAGGTGGCTGAACCTTATTTTTATTTAGGTAGCTAGGCTAACAGGTGGCTGAACTTTATTTTTATTTAGGTAGCTAGGCTACAGGTGGCTGAACTTTATTTTTATTTAGGTAGCTAGGCTACAGGTGGCTGAACCTTATTTTTATTTAGGTAGCTAGGCTACAGGTGGCTGAACCTTATTTTTATTTAGGTAGCTAGGCTAACAGGTGGCTGAACTTTATTTTTATTTATGTAGCTAGGCTACAGGTGGCTGAATCTTATTTTTATTTAAGTAGCTAGGCTACAGGTGGCTGAAACTTATTTTTATTTAAATAGCTAGGCTACAGGTGGCTGAACTTGCCAACCCCAAACAAAAGGATCTGAAGAGGAGAGAGAGAGAGAGAGAGAGAGGGAGGTGTTTGGCCGAAGCCCAGCGGTCCCTCCACCACCCCTGGTTTAAGTCAGAGACTTATTCACCAGGCCGCTTTCCTGAAATATCTTCGGATTCCTCTTCCTGCTGTCAGCTTCAATCCATGTCCTTCCAGGCACATTCTGTGCCTAACCAACACCTCTCCCCTCACCTAGTACCCTCTGTACTAAGATCATCGGATTTTTATCTTTCTTTCCAATCTTCTTAATTTTATCTTTCTTTCCTAACATTTTTCTTTTCAAATTCCAGCCTGTCTTCCTGCATTTTCAAATTCATGCTTTTTCTTCCCTATCCTTCGGCACATTCTGGCAAACTCTAGCGCGGATTCTTTGGTTCTCAAGAAGTTGATCTTCTCCCAATCCCATGTCTTTTGTTGGAGGAATTCCCTCATGTCACTTCTTTCTTCTTCATAGAATGGGCACTCCATCAGTACGTGCTGCGATGTCTCCAGCTCTCCGCAATGAGTGCAATGGTCATCATCGACGAGGTTGAAACTTTTCAGCTTTGCCTTGAAGTTGCCGTGCCCGCTGACGAACTGTGTCGTGTAGTGATCGGTTTCCCAATGGACTTTCTTTCTGAACCTCACGTCCGGAACGAACGCAAAGGTTTCCCTTCCTTTTGTGCTAGACTCCCACCGTCTCTGCCAGTCAACGAGTGTTTCTTCTCTTCGGATCCTCATGCTATCCTTGATGTCGATACCTTCTTCTTTGTCCCTTCTTCTCTTAATCCTTTCTTCAACCATCAAGTCAAGCGGGATTACCCCGGCAATCACTCGGACCGCTTCGTGGGATATCGTGCTGTAGCCCTTGATCACACCCAACAACAGTTTTCTCTGCAGACTCATCAACTTAGACTTCTCACCTCGTCCTCTCATTCGTTGGCCCCACATCTCACAGCCGTACAGCATCATTGGTTCAAGCGCACCGATGTACAATCTTCTCAAGTTCTCGCATCTCATGCCGTTGTTTGCCTTGGCCAGTCCTTTCAACTTTCCGAATGCCTTCATAGTCTTGTCGATTACTTGCTCATAATGTCCTGCAAATTTCAATCCACTTCTTACTGCGACTCCTAAGTACTTTGTCTCATTTGAACACCGAATTGTCACGTCTCCCATGTCGACACGGATAAATCTTTCAACCAACCTTCCTTTCAGGAGCACCATCACTGTCTTTTCCCTCGAAAAAGTCATCTTCCTGTCTTCCCCCCACCTAGTGACCAGTTCCAAGGCTCTTGATGCCTTCCTCATGAGATCAGGGCTTGTGTTCGACTTCACCAATAGCAGTCCGTCATCCGCATAGGCTCTCGCGGAGATGCCTTCCTCGAAAGGCAGCCGCAGAAATCCATCGAACAGGATGTTCCACAACAGAGGGCCCACCACAGACCCTTGGGGGCACCCTTTGGTGATGTTCTTGTTCACCTCTCCGTTGCCAGCTCTTAGTGTCACGGTTCTGCCTCGGAAGTAGTCCCTTACCAATCGGTAGATGTTGTTCGGACATCGCCATCTCCTCAAAACTCTCAGAATCTCTGGCCACCAGGCGGAGTCAAAGGCTCCAGAAATATCCAGGAACAATCCAACTACGTATTTTTCTTCTGTCTCTTCTACTTCTCTTCTCATATCCAGAAGTGCGTCTACAGTTCCAACACTTTCCGTGAATCCATATTGCAGTGGATTTGCCCTATTTTCCCTATCCATCCATTCTTTCATCCTTTTCACTATTAATCTTTCGCCTAACTTTCCTAAGACAGGTAAGAGGGTTACTGGCCTGTACGATTTAACCTTACTTGGGTCCTTTTCCTCGCTCTTTAGAAAAACTTTGACGATTCCTTTTTTCCACACATCAGGATACCTACCTTCTCTCAGCATCTTGTTGTACAGGTTCAGCAGCGTCCCCTTGATCCTTCCAAACATTCTCTTAACTACTTCGTTCTTTATTCCATCCACTCCCGGGGCCTTCCTATCCTTCATCAGTGAAACACATGCAGTTAGCTCCCCTTCCGTGAAATCTTCCTCATCTGTTCCAGTGCTTTCATCAATCATCCTACTTCTAATTCTTGCTTGTTCCTCTGTATCCTCCTCTTCTCTATCGTCTGGCAGCAATCCTTGTATCATTCTCTCTAGGGTCTCTTGCACTGTCTCTGTCATTGTTCCGTCTTCTTTTTCCAGGCTAACCAGCACAGTATCCTTTTTCAGCTTCTCTGCAGCAATCTTATAAACCTTTCCCCACGGGTCACCCTCTTCCTCCGCAATT